CAAGAACTCTGTCCATGTCTACCCACAACACACTACCCCCTGTGAATTGGGAACATTTCCCACTGCATAATATTATGCAGAGGTTGAGATATTCTCCTTGTGTGACTGTGATAAATGTGGGCAGAGTTTGTGTGGGTAGGAGATCCGGACTCATCAGATTTCGCCCTCATACCATCCTCACAATATTTGCATCCATGCATTAGAAATATCTCCATACTTATAATATTTCATTTATGGGAAGATGTTCCCAATGCACAACTGCAAAATATTGTACAGACTATCTGAGGACGAAATCCAGATTCATGGAAAAAAGGAAGGTCAAGAGTCATATCACTTTAATGCTCTTATGAGCAAAAATTCCGCACACACTCTGCAAATAGGGACATTCAGCCACACATTGGGAACATTTCACTATGGACCAATGTGCCGCTAGTGGGATGTCATGTGTGTAGAGTGTTTGCGAAACCGGATTCAGTCGGTGCAAAGCCCATTCCAACAACCACTATAGCCTTGCACTGGGAATATTTCCCCATGAAATAAAGCATAGAAGTACAGAGATGTTCCCAATGCAAGGCTGTAAAGACTGTTCGGACAAGCTTTGCACTGACTGAAACCGATCTCAGTTTTTACTTGCAGGAGATCTGAGCTCCTCATATAGACCTGATTCTCTTCTCATTCTCACAAATGTGGTTATTTGTTTCTATTCAACCCCATGAATTGCATAAATTTACTTGCGAACTCCCTTAACGGAGGAAATGGCCAACTTTTATGCCTCTTTATTATCTACCAATGTAGAACATTTTCGTTTCATTTGGATTAGGGGTGACAGAGGTTTCCTGACTACCCAATTTATATTCCTAGTGTCTGAGTCGACAAACTGATAAAGAACCGCTTCGAATCGGATCCAACTCAGGACCCAGTTAGTAGCAATATTTTAAGGCCAAGTTTAGGAGTGTTTATTCGAAAAATTAGTGCTTATTCTAATAAGTATTTATTTTAAAAAACACTTATTTTAAACAGGGATAGTATAGGTATTTTAAAATTGACATGGCAGGCCAAAATAACAAGAAAGGAAATAAGTACTTAAAAATAAGTATAATTATTGAGCTTCTCAAATAAGTACTTATTCAATATTTATTTTGGATTTATTTTCCAAACACAAATAAGTTTTTATTGGTGTAGTCCCAGTTCAAAATAAGTATTTTTTTGGTTACCACTTTTTTTTCATAGCCCTGGTTGTATACATCCAACAAAATTTAGATTTTAATATTTTCAATAGGATTTTTTTTTAATTCCATTTCCACTACCAAAGTTTCTCTTCTTTTGCCTGATCCTGGTATAGAACCACCTGTTTCATGCCCGGGTCCGAACCCAACAAAATCCGGACCGGTAGATGTAATAGGCTCTGGGTCTGGGAATACATGTGTGGGAGCAGTTTTCACCCCTTAGGCTCCATGTGAAAGAAGTACAAATACAAATATGTCTAGCGCAAAACCTATTTGTACTGTATATGTTTGTATTTGTATTTCTTCCAAACTGAGCCTTATTTGTAGCTCGTAGGGGAGAGTCTAGACGAGCAAGATAACCCACCTTCTAATCGCAGAAGAGTCTGATAGATCAAATGCAAGGAGGAGGAGGATTTGATCTACCACCAGAATAGATTTTTCACTTGAGAATTGAGATTACATCGGATTCGGGTTAATTACTTATCTGTTTGAGGAAATAGAATTTTATCTTTTCACCCTGCAATTGAATACAAATAAAAATGTGCAATTGCAAAAAATGAATGCGGCCTAGGGCTATTGCAGAGAGAAAGCAGGAAGCACTTATCATGCATCCCCCCATTCAATGGCTAGAAAGAGATTTTCCCTAGAGCTCAGTTTGGAAGGAGTATAAATACAAATATGTACAGTATAAATACATTCAAAATAATATAAAATACAGGGTTTTGCACTCTACATATTTGTTTTTGTACTCCTTCCAAACTGAGCCTAGAGGAAAGTAGGGCATTTTGAGCTTTAATTAGGCTAGTGAGGTGCCAATATCCTACCCATTGTACTTGCTCTAAGCTTTAATTATGTGTAATAAATCTTTAGTTTTATCAATAATCTCATATACTTAGATGGGTTAGTTCCCACAAATTATCAAGTGAAGAAAGGTAGACCCTTTTCAATACTGTAAGGCMTTGTTTGTTTTTAGGTAATAAATGCATTTATTAAGGTAAGTGTTTTATGGAAAATACTTATTGGGAAAAGTACACTTACCTATGTTATTTTATTTTCAAGGTAAAGGTGTATAACGATCAATTTATCCAAAAAAGTGGTATTATTTTTTTTGATAAATAAAAAAGTGATATTATTGAAAGGACAATATTATCCTAACGTATTAATGATCTCAGTACACATGATTAAGTAATTTATCAAGTCTACGGAGAGTATCAATTACCTATAGGTAAATGAACTACTTGGAAATCGTTCTTTCCCATAGGACCCACTAACTGAAAAACAAAAGTGGATTTATTTGTTTTTCATGGGACGTACCAACTTACCTGCCCTTAACGAGGATTAAATGAAAATCTAGAATAGAAGGAAACAATGTGAAGCAGATCAAGAATATTATTATTATTATTATTATAGATAGAATCTAATTACAAGGTTTAAGCATCTTCAATTGCTTTTGTTGGTTTACGTTTTTGCAGGCTAGACATGAATTTCTAAAGCTTAAACCTTAAGCTAAATTTACACTGGACCCTTGAAACAGGCCGTGTCTCTTCATGACATGAAGGCATGTGTTTTAACTTTCTTATCCGATACAGTTTGGGCAGTACGAGAGAGAAGGACATGCCCAATTTAATGGCGATCTCTATCATTTGTACATGAAATACGTGGCTAGTTAGGGGAGCCCAGATTAAAGATGAAGCTACGGCTTTTGTTATTCCCACCTCACACATTCAAATTAAAGAATCTTGATGGGATCTCATCAGGCCTTTTATCTTTAAACTCTCTTCTATTTTTCTGGACAGAGACAGAGACAAGGGGCTGGACTAGGACAAGCCTTCTGAGGAGTGGATCACTGGATGTTTGTTAATTCATGGTTGGGCATGTTTAAACAAACGAATCCAATCCACTGGCTGCCAGCTATCCCCACTTTTGCATGTCGTGTCGTGCAACAAGAGAGTACGAGAAGAGGAGATGCCACAAACTGGGTATCTGTTTTCTGCCCTTGGGAAATGATTATGGCCGACCTGTGAAAATGGCAAGGTAAGAGAAGAATGAACAGAAAAAAAAAAAAAAGAGAATTGATGAGGTTGTACTGTTGGCTTGTGTCATTGTGAGTGAGACCCAAGCGGGTTGCAGGTTAAATAGATTACCATCTCCTCAAGTAAGAAAATATGACAAGCTCAATTAAAAATTAATTACTCTATTCATAAATCATTATTCTAATCTATATGTTATAGGCTATTTTATATTAATTACTTGCACTTTCACAGGGGTCATTTTTTTTTCAAGTGAACAGTATAACATCACATCAACAACCTTGTTACAGAGATAATAGTAGTAGGGGATTTGAAATCGCACCACCACTTAAACAATTCATCTAACTCACCAACCAGGCTACCCCTTAGATCTATAGGCTATAGTATGATGCATAGACAATGACACATCTTTCTCTTTCTCAGCCTCACATTAAAAGACCACCTCTAAGGCCCGTTTGTTTATCGGTAAATAAGTGGGGAAAACTGGTCAATGAATATCTCCCCATTGACTAACTTTACGTCATTCTTTTTGCATTATTTACCAGGTCCCACAGTAAAGAGTCTCATTTACCCAAATAAAATTTATTCATTTCCCAGGTGAACAAGTATAAAACATAATAGGGCAAATTTGCCCATTTTGACATTTAACATTTTATGAACAAAAAAATAATTATATTACTTACCTAGGAATCAAAAGAATATGGGTAAGTGAACTTACCCAAGTAAATATTATGATGGAAACATTTACCTGGATAAGTAAACTTACCGAGTAAATTACAAAATTATAAACGAACAAGGCCTATAGGTAGAAAAAAATCATGAAGGCTGAAGCAAACAATGAGGCTCTGCGTTCTGATTTACCACACTAGATAAAAGCTTATGGGTTGATTGTATGCAGTGTAGAGGAGTGAAAAAAAGAAGCTCAAAACGCATAACCTGCCTAGACTGGTCTCCTACACTTGAGTATTGTTACTCTTTAAGTCTTAACCATACAATTGGGTAACGCCATATCTCTTCATTACATTTGTTTTATTTGATTTTTGGTACTCTTAATAAGAAATAAATGGGGACTTGGGTTCACTTGATCTGCACATTTTATCATCCATGTCCATGATGGAAACATCCATCATTGGGTTGTCCTTGTTTTTTGAATTAGGGCCAAAATCAGGGGGGGGGAGAGCTCGAATGGTATTCCACTATTCCAAACACTGACCTGTGTAAAAGAAATAAAACTATCTCATGACAATGGGAGGATCCATTTGGTTCACAATGAGAATTCGAATGAAAATCCCTTGATATCAGAATCAAAATGATTCATTCCAATAACCTGTTTGGTTCGAATAAGAAACAGAATCGAATTGGGAATCGGCAAGAATAAGATCTCATTCTCAAATCTCAAGAGACAAGTAAATGGTCATTGCAGTTGCAGATTCCAATCCCACCCAACCAAACGGTTGGAGTCAGAACGGGCCATTCCAATTCCAGACACCCTATTCCCGCAAACCTAACGGGCCCTGGCCCTGGGATACGTCACAGACCAATTAGGTCAGACCACGTGCAGGGACTCCGAAGTTGTATGATTAAGGCGGTGTGGCCGATAGACTATAGTCAGTCACACACAATTCTCTCCACTTGTCACTTAAATGTATGATTGCAAGGATTTCTGGACGAGATCCCTGTAAGACCCGACCTTACAAGTTACAACACAAGATTAGTATTTAGTAGTGGGTACTGGCCACTGGGCTGTGAAGAAAATCTAAGATTAGGCCCTTCAACTACAAAAAATAATGGCCCTACAACATTTGTGAAGTACCCCCTCTGTCACACCTCCTCACTCATTACAGACAAGGTAATCCATTTTCAAGCCAAGACTCTCAACTCTGCAGTTGCAGTAATAATATGCAGGTACTTTCTAACATTTGATTAAGAAGTTATAAAAACCCTCAGGCACTAAGCTAATTACATTTCAATTTCTGAAAACAAAGCAGGAAAACAAGAATGGGAGAGAGAGTAGCCATCCATCAATATTCAAATTGCCATGAGGTCACCAAAGTTGCGCATCAGAAAAATTGATCCCGCAAATAGCCCTGCAGCTCGCAACAGCTTCTGCAAGACATCGTTTGTGATTAACTATGGCAAATAAAATATCTAGACACAAAACAGTGTTTGGAATTCAGAGCTTCTAGGAAAATGACATGCAGGAAGAGACAAATGTGTACTGCGACTAATGGACTTTATAGTGCAAGCAAAATTGATGCAATGAACATACAGCAAAAATAAATAAATAATCATAAAAAATACAGCCACTGCAACCAAGGTCAATTTTACCTCAATTTGCAACAAACCCATGTATGGCTGGCTATCCACGTCCAGGTGGTTACTGAGAAATTGGAAGAAAAGGCCAAGGCTTCTTGGGACGTTTTAGGCAGACATATATACACAAAGCAGATGATTTTAGCATATCTTTAGAGAGTATTGCTTAAAGTTTGGATTGTAGCCCAGAAGCTGCAGGCTGCAGTATATCCCTACAACTCAGGACTTTGATGACCTCCATCCAGCCAGAATGGCCATTACCCAGTGCTCATCCTTTTTTTATAATTAACAGATATTCATTGATTTAAAAAAAAAAAAAAAAAACTTGCTACAATATGCTAACAGCATACAGCTAAACAAAACAACACAAATTATATGAGAAATAGCAGGTTAGAACTCATTTCCCAAACCCAAAAAGGTCCCACTCTAAACCTTCTTTAGAAACCCCTTGGCAGGTTCATCACCCGCCTCATTTGCACAACACATCTAGGAAACCACAGTTGAGCATTTCATTTGATTCCCAAGAAAAAGGATCTCTCTAATACAATGCCTGAACTTCCAAGGTGCATCTTTACCTGAACATACTAAGAAACAACCACTTGGCACATCACCTCCACTATAATGTTGTTTAAATTACATGTAGCCACTTATTTCAAACCTTCCAGTTCTGCCCTTTCTGTAATACCATACCCCACTGACCTGAGTACCTGCGTACCTGAGTTTGATTCTTCCCTCAGAACCTATCACCACCCCTCGAATGCCGAGACACCTGGGTTACCCAATGATCTATGCACTCCAGGGTCTAGGGAGTGGTAGTCTGGCTACCCCCAGAAATTTCTCAAACAAGCTACCAACAGTAACAAACAACGGCCTCTAGTATGAGAACTAAACCAAAATCCAAAATGATATTATGTGAAAGCAAATATCCAAAATGTGGATTTCAGCCTGATTAAATTTCAAGTACTGGATTAATTAGGGTAGCTCTCATCGTGTCTTCTTCTCAATAGGCCTCTTCTTCTACAAAGGCCCAGATTTAAGATTCATGGGCCTCAACGCCCATGCTTGCAGGCCCCTTGAAACCCATGACAGCCCACAAACTTGGGCCCATTCTAGCAAACTTGGCTAGCTCAAGTGGAGCCTATAGTAAGATTCTCCAAATTAAATCAATCAAAATTTGATAAAGATTAAAAAAACTTTTAAATCTGGCATTCTTTCTTAACAACTATTTCCCTGTTTAATTACATTGTTAGAGAGATAAATAATACTGCAGACCTAAAGAGATTTGATGTTCATTATAAATATCATTGTGAACACTCTTTGAGAATTAATTGAAGTTTTTTGTAAAATTATATAGTTTTTACATGTCACGATTTGTTGGCGACTCCATTAGGAATATCTTTATCCTTTAGTATTTTATTAACAAGTTGCATAATATGGGTTAAACCTTTGTCACTTTGTCTCAAATTTATACTTATTTTCTTTGTTTGGACTTATGTTTCTTCCCATTGCAGATTTATCCCTTTAATTTTCTTTATTTCCTATTTATTTTTCACTAATTTCCACATCCGTATTCTTTATTTCCGTACTGCTTTTAAAATTTTCTTCTGAGAGCCACTTGAAGCATCTAATCTCATTTCGAATTTGCCAAACCACCACCCTACCATCAAAATTAAATTTCATCCAACCATCAATTGGGGGTGACCAAACCCCAAGGATTTTTGTTTCAAAGAGGAGGAGCCAGCTATTGCCACCCAGTTCTTGAAGAAATCTTCTAGTGCAAGACTTGATAAAAGTTTCAATATCTTCACCTAATATGCAACTCTTAGGGTTATGATGTCAATAGTTGTCTTCTTACTCTTCTATTTCTCCCCAAAATTTTAGTATATTTAAAAGAAAAAAAAAGTATTACAATCATAATAATGTACACAAGGAACTGTACGGTGGGAATATACACCATCCAGCCTTACATCTATTGATTTACAAAAAGAGTTCCTTTAGGAAAAAGGCATAGTTTCCTTTAAAACAAGCTATGCACACCATCCGAAGACAAAATCCTAGCCTTCAACTTAGCTGGTAGTGCATCTTCAGCCTCACAGTTATTTTCAAATATCCTCAAGTCCCTCTCTCCAAGTAGTCCAAAATACCACAAGAACAGTCCTCCACACAATAGTTCCTTCTTTACATAAGATAAATCTCAAACTAACAGAGGGATTGTGGTGGGGCTGTTCTCGGGCCCCATTGGAATGGGAGACTCCAGTACAGCTGAACTAAAGGCAGTGGTGTATGGGATACAAAAAGCTAAGGATCTGGGGGTGAGAGCTTGTTGTGGAAGGCAACTCCAAAGTGATTATAAGCTGGCTAAAGCAAAATGAAAGAACACCCTGGCTATTCAGAAATGACATCAAGAAGATTAAAAGCCTATCCAAGGACATGCAGTTATTAATTCAGTGGTCTCCAAGAGCAGCAAATGGATTTGCAGACCAGCTAGCTAAACAAGGGGCTAATAGGGATCACTGTTTTTGGGCTCAGTTGTAAGAATGAAAAATCAAATCTGATAGTTGGCATTTTAAGTTATAGTGGGGTAGCCACGGCTACTCATAACCTGTAATTTCCGTAATTTTCATTATGTTAATGGAATTTCCTTTCATTGATAAAAAAAAGCTTTGCAGCCTAATTCCAATTTGCCCAGGCCCATTACAGCCATATTGCTGTTGAGTGGGCCCAGCATCAATCATCCATCTTTATGGACGATCTGGGTTGCTGCCTTTCATTCATTCCCTTGTTTTCCTTTCTCCATAGTAAACTAATAGCTCCACCATATGTTCCAAATTATGACCTTCACTTTTTTTTTCTTTTCTCTGCAAATCAAATTCAACATAAAAAATGCTGTCCCTTAATCTTTTTGTAGGGGTGATCATTGCTAGCAAGTCCCAGAAGGCTTGGCCCACCTACACAGCAAATTTCTGGTCCCGGTCAAAGACTTTCTATGCAATCCCAGCCTAGATCAGGCCCATATGAGGCACACATATAAGATGAACCATGTATTGGTCTACGTTTCAGGCCTGGTGTGCAAACTGGACTAGGCCAGGTTTACATGAAGCCATACCAAGTGCCAGACCTGACCCATTATCTATTGGTCAGTTCTTTCCTTTATTATTTGATTTATCACCACATACATTCTCCATATTTCCTTGTCCCATCTAAGTTACATCTGTTCTACTTTAGTGCATGATAATTTCATGTTAGATCACTTTTAAGTTTGCTCGTTGCTACTCCAATGGTTCAACCAAGAAAAGAAGCTAATTTACAAAAGAACTATGGAAACCAGCTAAACTACCTAGATTTTTTGTATAAAAAAATCACCTAGGCAACACCAAAGTAAGCCAGGCACCTGGGTCCTAGACTCACCATAACCATTGCAACATACAGACACAAAACAAAAACAAAAACGAAAACAAAATAAAGACATAAATTTGAGGCTTGACACCCAGAACATTTTAAGGATTTCAAACTTGCAAAAGAAAATATCATACAATGTTGAGGAATATGAATATGGAAAAAAACCACAAATATGAATGGTTAAGACAGAAGGTGTATGTGAAAGATCTGACAGCAGAACACCAATGGTAACTGATCACATGACCAACATAAGATAATTCCAAGACAACATCCAAAGAACCATGTAGGATTCCATCAATATAATTCCAAGATGGAGAGATCCTGAAACACTAGAAGATACCAACTCCAATAAAGGAAGGGAGCCATTCTAATAAACAGCACATTATACTGGAGCTGAAGAAACTGGAAAGTACAGTTATTCACAACTTAACATTAAATGTTTAACACAGTCAGCAATGAATTTGCACAGTGAATAGAGATCCGGAGCTAGGTTGGGTAATATATTGTTTGGACAATGAAAGATTTCATCAGAACTCGTGTAAAAGATAATAAAATAAAAACCATTGAAGAATATGACCAACCTGTGGTTAACTAATGTTGCAAACAGTCTCCTAGAATTTCAAAGATGTGGTGAACTAGGCCACTAATCAGTGACCACTTATACTACTGATGCACTTCTAATTACCCGATTAGTTGATTACGCAACCAGCAGTAGCCAAAAACAAGCAAGGCCACCGGAGAGAATCCATTTTGAACTCTAACCTTGTACTCTATGCAACCACTGGCCTAGCRGCAGAGTATAAATCATTTCGAATTTATAATCCAACTGAATCTGTGAGTTCCCATCATTTGTTGGACATCTCCCTCTTCTATCAAAGGTCAATCTGCAGCCATAACAGTTCTGAGAAACAACTTAGGCTGACACAACCCATACAGCGTCCTATTTGCTAGGAACTGTTAACAGCACTAGACTATTCATTTGAGTCAAGGTGAAAGGTTCTGACCAATTTGGAGACTGGAAAATACTATAGACTTGGCTAGTTGTCTACATGATTTATGAATAGATCAATTTCTGTTCCATAACAGATTTCAGTTACCTCCCTTTTGCCGAATCAACCTCCACTAATGACTACTACTATAAATCTGGATGAATCACCTCCAATTATTCTTTCTTTTTCTGCTGTAAATGGTTCAAAGAAGCACGATTGTAACTGGTGGTTTGGTTCTAACAATTACATCAACAAAGAAATTACAGCTCGTTTAAACAGTAGACTTACGAGAACATAGGCACACTGGAAGCCACGCACAATAGAACATAGATGGCTATTGTGAACTCGGCATAAGCAATGATGAATATAAAACAATAAATGCCAAGACGACTTGTTGAGCAAGAGTGCACGAAAAATTCAGGTTAAACAGAAAATCTACAAATTAAAGAAACAAAAAAAAAGAGTAAAATAAAATGCTGTGGTGAATCCAAAAGCATAACCGAAGGCCGCGAAGGTTGCAAGAGCGAAGACGGCAATGCGTTAATATCGAATACATCAAACAAATTCTCCATCGATAAAATTCAATAGATGATCGGAGAAAAAAATAGGAGCGAAGATTACCATGTTTAAAGCCCATTTCTCTTCGTTCTGAACCTGCGAGTTCCAGAACTCCTTCAGCTTCTCCATGGAAATAGTAGAGTCCGCCATTGAAGAGGATCAGATTGTTTGTTGTGGCTTCTCTAGGGTTTGGGGTTTTGGCGGTTTTGTTTTTTTTTTTCCCTGAAGAAATGGAAAGGGAGAGTCTTCTTCTTTATATAGACACACAAGATGTGGGGCAGATGTTATAATACAGAAAGATCAGACGATTTTTAACCATCTGATCCTAGAGATCTATAGAACTGTCTTACACTGTTGAGTGTTGACTGCCAAATAAAATGCTTGGGCTAATTGGACCATTTGTTCAAGCTTAACTCTTGGCCCGTTTCCAACTTGACCTCTTAAATTTGGACTATCTCCAGGTCCAGGCCCACGGTGCCGCATCTCCTCCATAAGATTAAGAGCCTGATCGTGCGGTCGTGCCGTGCGCAAGCCCAGTTCGAGCGAACTCAGATCTCCTTAGCACAATCTCTTCCCACAACTCTACTCACAAGGCACTACATGCGCACATTGGGAATATCTCCCTTTCATTAATGGGATATKTTCCCAATACAAGGTGCTAATATCTTGTGGGTAGGAGATTCTGAGTGGCTCAAGCTCATGAAGTGGAGAAAAGGTCGTGATGGGATTTTTCACAAGAAAAAACTCTTCTGCATACACCTTCAAAGTGAGTGTCCGCCATCTGTCCCTTCGCACGCAATTAGGTTGTCCCGCGTGCGGGGCTAACGGGATGGCCGTTAGCTCTTAGCCCCAAAACTAGCCCAAAACCGAGTCAAACATTCTCGCGTGCTTGAGCTGCCGGTCCCCTGAACTCCATTCTTCCCCCCTCACTCGAGTTCTCCTTCTTCGGCACCGGCGACCGCTCCGGTCAGTTCACCTTGATCGGGTATTCTCCAACATTATTCTTAATGTGTATGAAATTTGGCTACACTTCATTCAGTTATCCAACGTAATACCAGCCGTCGAGGCACCGGGCTACACTTCATTCAGTCGGGCGAGCTGCTATTACTTCATTCAGTTACCAGAGCAGAACGCCATGACCACGCAAGCGTAATGCGAAGCTTCCAATTCTGCATAGAGAGAAGGAAGGAATAGATGGTCCAGCATCTTCAAAATCCTCTTCTCCGTCTCCGCTCTCTCTACCTTCTTCTTCAACGTAAGCGCTTCTTTATCCACAACCTCCATGGCGTAATAGCAGCTATCATCGCCAGCACTGGAGGTCCTGAGACGGCACAGGTAGACGCTCCCAATGTCGCCGCTCCCAATTCAGCGAACGAGCTTGAAATCCCTGAAAGTCAACCCGCTCTTGCAGCGGGAAATGGCAGAACATATAGCTTCCCACGCGAAGTCTGACAACCGGTGGGGCTTGAAGGTAAAGCTCTCAGGCGAGTAATAAGACGAAGTCTTGGCGGAGATTTCGAGAGCATCAAATGAAAGACGACTGATGCCACTGCAGCTATCGCTGCTCATCGAACTCTGGCTAGAATTTAGTGTCTCTGCTACACCGATTTCACCTTCTAAATCCCGCAAAAACTCGTACATTTTAGGATCAGAGACTCCACTTCACCTCTTCAAAGCTCTTCTGCGTACGTACGCTTGAAAGGTTCCTACTTCCTACACAACACTACATTGAGTTTCTAAGTTTCTTCTGAAAACGCTTTCAGCAATATATAAAGCATCACCTTCTTTTCCCCAAAGACTCAGAACGTAGCAAGCAGAAATGCAAGAAGCAACTACCAGTCAAGGAAGTAAAGAACAAAAGAACCTAATCTTTTCTCCACCAAGAATCTAAGGTCTCAAAAGAGAAAGAAAATTGAAAAAAGAAAGCTTCCAGAAAGCAAAGAAGGAAGAACGAATAACCGAGGATTTTACTAGTGTTTCTTTTGTACGATCTCCGCTGGTTCTCGAATCAGATACGAAGATGATCGTAGAAATCCGAGGATTATGACGCGGGAACAGGCTTCGATTCTTTGAGAGCTTGGAATCGTTGCTCCCCAAGTCCAAGTTCCCCTCTCTGAACAATTAAAAAAAAAAACAGTCCAGATTCGATTTTCCTCAACGAACCGTCAAAGGAGCTTCTCCTTCGCCATGAAAACACCTTGGAAGTTCTACTGACAGCTCCTTCCTTCTCCACCGAGAGGCAACATGCACCGTTCGAACCACCATTAAAGGACCATCAACTTCAACCCCTCGTCAGAGCACTGCTCGTTGGAGTCAAGGTGAACTGACCGGAGCGGTCGCCGGTGCCGGAGAAGGAGAACTCGGGTGAGGGGAGAAGAACGGGGTTCAGGGGACCGGCAGCCCAAGCACGCAGGAATGTTTGACTCGGTTTTGGGCTAGTTTTGGGGCTAACATGGCGGACGCTCGGCGTGTGGGGCGCAGATTTGAAGAAACTGGTACTACTAAGAGCCCATTTGGGCTTCTTCTTTGAGCCGCTACAAAGAAGCAAGATGGTTTCAAATAAGCTATTTCGAGTACTTCACTCAACAGTCAGAAAATGGCATTCGGAACACATGTTTCATGTTTGTACTCTGGATTTTTACCAAATGTAGCTTCTGCTATTTCTATGTGCCTATGTGGGGGGCATCTTGAAACACAAGAAGCTGCTGTGCGAACTGCGAAAGCCCTCCCAAACAGGTGTCAAATAAAACTAGTTTCACCGGAAAGTCAATTTTTTTGGGCTGAATGGAAGGAAGTATATCATTGTTTTCCATGTTTTGCACCAAACAAAGGTGTATAGGCTCTCTGTGTGGGACCCACATTGCAAAGCCAAGAGGCAAGAGCCACAGTGTGAATGTGAAACCCCTCCCTAACACAGACAGCTCAATCACCGCATAAGCCCCTCCCAAACGGGCTCTAATACTAAAAAGCAGTGAATTAGGAGTTCTATCAGCTGCATCAGGCCATCAGATACAGGGACCCCAACTAGGGACGTCATTGTCAATGGGTGGGGTTAAATGATAAATCCAGATTGACCTGCTCCTATTAGGGCCAAACATATTCGGCTTTAGGATCGGATTAGGGTTTTGATCATTCAACCAAAGTTGGATTCGGGTTTTGGCTGGCCTGCCCCGCTGGGCCATGATACGCTACATATATACAAAAGTATCCTTATAATTTTTAACTTCTAACTCTATAGCCTTAAAGTCCAAGATTTATTTACATGTTAATTTTGGTTTTCTTTTTTTTAATGGAAAAAATGACACTTCAGAATCTATAAAACAATTTTCTAATTTAAATTAATGGATTTTAAGTCTTCAAAATGTGTTGAAAAAAAATGCATTTGAAATGCTACAAGTCGGGTTGGCATCGGGGTCAAGTTTGGAAATAGAGTTTTTTTAAGCCGGGTTGGGCCATTGGAGGGTCGGGTTAGGGTTGAGGCAAACCTGACCCATTAACATCCCTAACCCCAGGGGCTCTGTTGAGCGTGAGACTACCTTTTTCTTGTTCTGGGACCTCTCTCTCTCTCTCTCTCTCGGGAGGTGGTCTTATAAGCTACAACTTTGGGTTGCCTTGGTGTGTTTAGTCGGTGGGTCTGCAACTTTTGATGCATCAAAATTTCAAAATTTAACTTTTGCTGCATCAAATTTTGTATCCAAGGCTCAGTTTGTAAGGGGTACTACCGTAGAAATACAAATATRTACAGTACAAAACCTTACATTTTATAATATTTTGTATGTATTTATATTATACATATTTGTATTTACTCCTTCAGAGACTAGTTATATACAGTGCAAAACCTTACATTTTGTATTATTTTGTACTGTAAAATATTTGTATTTGCACTCCTTCCAAACGGAGCCCAACTTTGCAGTTGCAGAAATCAAACCGATACGCTCCATTTCCATGTATATTGTATTGAAGCCGAAGTGCTAGAGTTGGAAACTTGGAATTACGTTGCCGTTGGTATGCTCCTCCGACACCCGCGCATCGTTTCGCTCCCACCTCTTTTTTCAATTGCTTACGTGGTGCTATATTTGTAATGAAATCTTTGAATTTAGTTTTCAACGGCATTCACATTTGAATTGAACCCACCAGCCTCATCGTCGAAAACAAAACCCATTCAGATATCCCCCCGCTTCTCGTTCTCAATAAAATTCCAGAAAATGGTACAAGATTCAGTTTTTGAACATCTTCAGTTCTTCACTATTTGAATTGTTAAGGGCATTGGATCGGAACTCAAATCTTTGAGAGCTCAGGTCAATGCCAGATCACATCCCACGGTCCCCMACCTCCATGAAGTTTCATCAAGGTTCCTGAAACCTGACAACTGGCGAAGTTTTGTCTTTTCCATTCATGATTCTTCACCATGACAATAATGGTGCTACTAGAAGTAATTTTCGTGTTTGCACGGTTAGTTTCAGTTTCACACCCCCTCCCAGTCCCCCAATATATATCAAAACATCATTAATCCATTCTACCCTCGTGACCCCATCATCCACCTTACGCAGAAAGCAAAACTGTACTATAATACAATACCCATGGGCCATGCCAATAGGTGTATAAAGAGTTTTAAGTCCCAACACCAAACAGCATCCACATGATTCACAAAATACAAGATGCAGAGTTGAAGACTATCGCAAGCATTAAAGACTTGTATAATTTTCCATTAACAAGATCATCAAGTTGGTGTAAATTCAAGTTTTATACAAGTTAGGCTTATCATAGTTCTCTAATTCCGGCTATCAACAGGGCTGCCACGCACATACAAATTTTTAAAGGTAAATCAAGACACCCTCTCATCTCATCGTCAACTCCTATCTAGTGTCAAAAAAAAAAAAATCCAAAGTTAAAATTCCTGACTACCCCTTTTCTCCCCATTATATCAAAATTCAAAAAACAGTAGCATCCGCACCTGACAAACAGAACTTCGCACAGAAATAGCTGCTTGGTTCACCCACATTTAGCGGCTAACTCTTCCATTGGCATTCTGATCCACTCTTTGATAACCATCTCCACTGCGACCATAAGAGACCCACCCTCGCCCTGAAAACTCACCCCGATTTCCAAACTCAATTCTCCCATAGCCACGGTTGCCACCATAATTCCCACGGCCCCTGAAATTGTCATTTCTAAACCCACCTCTTCCTGGAGGGAACCGACTGCCCCTTCCACCACCACTTCCACTGCCAACTGCAAGAACCAGCGACGCTGTAAGTCTCAATAGCAACAAGTGTGGTGAGCCTGAAAAGCTTACATTGGGGAAACTGCTCAAGATATTTTAACTTGCCTCGAGTTGTAGTTCTCTTCTCCTCAACAAAAGCTTGACGCCCCCCAATCATGATAGGTGAAGCCTGAAAAGTTTACACGAACATACCAGAAATAGATAATGGAAGCAGAATAAACAAATGAAAATGATGACAGAATTGAAGCTTCTTTTAACTCTATAAATACTATGCCAAACCCATAGATTAGTGTTGCACCACCCTCTGCAGCACAAGGTCGGTGATGCCTTTGATAAGAAACTGCAGTAACAGGAGGGGAGAGTCCCTTTGATAAGGAATGTTACACCCTGGTAAAGAGGCCCAACTCTGAAGGCTTCTGTTATTTGCATTATTAAGACCATTGAATGTAGGACATAAAAGGTCCTCGGTTAAATTAAATCAACATGTTATTGGTGATGTTTTCTCAAGTTTTGACTGAGATTTGGGTCTAAGGGAAACTGAGATTTCTCAGCCGTTTGATTTAATTAAAATCCTTGGTGGTGTGTTCTTGGATCCACTTAAATATGATGGCTGAATTTGGACCCTCTCCCCTTGCAGATCCTTCTCTTGTGTTTCTTTCTTCAAAAGGCCTTAGATTATCTTTTGCCCACGTTGAAGTCGTTTCTAGTGAAATGTTTTTGGGGGAGACCCACTCCTAGAGTAGGAGCTTTCAATTGGGAGGTCTACCATGAGAAAATTAATACTTGTGACTTGCTACAGAAAAGGAGATCTTATTCCTGCCCATCTCCTCATTGGTGTGTTGTCGACAACAAATGGTGTGTTGTCGACAACAAAGCAAATGGTGAATCTTGCCTCACTCACTAATCTCCTGTCTATTCGCTAAAGGCATTTGGGATTGGTTGGTTGCTTTATTTGGTTGCAAGTTGATTCTTCCATCCAACATGGCAAGCTTCTTTGCTTCTACTTCTACAAAAGAAGAGAGGTAGAGCCATGTGGAGAACCTAAGARTTGCAGTAACATGGATACCATGGGAGGAGAGGAAATTTTAAAGAGAGACAGGAGCAAGGAGGCATCGATCTGATGTATAACCATTACAGTGGTTCACTGGCTAAAACTCCTGGAGCTGTTCTTGGACCCGGTCCAACCCGCTTTAAACTGAAATTAAATCAAATCAGACCTATAATCAATCTGAAGGGCAAAATGGTAATTCAAGGAAAACTTTAAGGGCCACACAATTCAGCCAAGTTGAAAGGGATTTGAACAGAAGAAAGACAAATAGAAGGGTCAAGGAACACCTGTGAAGTAGATTTCTACAAGACAAAAACCGATGGGATGTGTGTGTGTGTGAGAGAGAGAGAGAGAGAGAAAACAAATAGTTGAGCAACTCCGTTCCCAAAATAGGAGGGGGAATCTTATGCAGAGGCTACAGAAATCAAGATAGCTAACCACATCAAAAGGCCTCTTGGAAAAGGCATATGGAAATCTTATCATCCATCTGAAGTCCACCAGTCAGACATTTAAAAGAAACAAAAAAGACAACTATTTTGAATTATAAAACATAAACACAAGTGCAGAGTCTATACCTCAATTGCACTCTGCATGGAACTCAACAGCTCAAATTCAACAAAACCAAAACAGAATCCTTGGTTCTGCACAGAAAATAAGCATATATATTATGTTAGCAAATTCTATGTTGGAGTAGTAAACACTAAACAAAGACACAAAAATATCCAAAACAAACCTTATTACTTCTAACTTGGATACCATTTGGCTTAATTGGCCCAAATTTTTTGAACACCTCCTCCAGTTGTTCAGGCATGGCATTCAAAGGCAAGCTCCGGATATAAATTGAGTGACCTTCAACTATAACAAAATGAGACAATAATTAGAGGAACAAGATATAAAGATACATATACATACATAACCTAACAGATGCAAGGATGACATTAGCACTTGAGAATGAAAACAGTAAAACATCTTTAAGTAGACCATCAAGAATATTTTAAGAGAAGCAAGTAGGCATGTGAATGTATGTACCATACAATACATGAATACGCAATTACGCATGTATACACCTATTTATGCACATATTCTTGGAAGAAACCACCAGCTCCTTTAACATGTACCCTGAATCTTTACCAGATAAGTTCATTTTCCCTCTTTATCACCTATTATGACTAACCCATGCATGCACTAATTTTGAATTCAATGATTTCTATCCATACTAGTATTACCACTCATTTCTGATAATATAACCTAAATTATAAATTAGTTAAATAATGATAAATAATTGTTGAAAAGAAATATAATAAATTAACATTCTGACAATAGATATAGTACTGCACACATGTATACAAGTCAAATCAGTGCCTGACACGATCATATTTCAGAAAATGGATGTCCATTTCACCAAAAAGAAAGGATAGATTACAATCTGTTATAATAAATGTTTCCACATGTTATAAGTATAATGATTAAGAATTGAGATTGTGTTATATCAAGGAAAAGCAGACAAGTAGATACCTTCCTCGGGAGCATTGCTACTATCAGAAGCTACATTGACACTAGGAGCTGATGCTTCAGGATCTAGAGCAGGTGCTGCAGACCCATACGACTGTTGATCAGTGTTTGCGGGTGCTTCCCTTACACTATTAGTAGCTACATAAACCATTGTGGTAGATGCAGTACTTCCCTTTGTAAACTTTACCTTTACCAAATTTCCACATGTTAATTCAAGAAATCATGAAATATTTGGTTCAATAATTAGCATAAAAAATATATCTTCATTGCACAAAACTCACAATTGATGCATAAGACTTCTTAGGAGCATCCTCTGGGACTGTAGGARTTGATTCAGGTGGTGGACCAGCTTCATTCTGACTTGAATGTTCTGGTGCCTCAACCATAATCTCTACTTCAACATCTGATCCTTCCTCATTGCCAGATGAATTACAAACCTCCTTACCATTATTGAGATCCTCTTCTGTGTGAGAAGTTGTAGGGTACAGCACAGGACGATCAGGAACATGAGTGGGTTCTGGAAACAAAAGTAAGAGTAAAGCTAAAAGCCTCTAAAAGAAATTTCAAAAGAAAGAAAAACAGAAAAAAACACAGTAATAATAAAATAATAAAAATATCAAAAACAACAGCCACAGCAACAACAATAATAAAGCAAACCTGGTTCCTGTGTCAAGGATGATGCTGAAGCACCTACACCAACATCATTAACAGACACAGGGTTGATCGCCTGTGCTTCATTTTGATCAACAAACCTAAATACATCATTCAGAACAAAATAACCCTTTTCTTGTGGAGCTAGAAAGAACAATTGGGTGAACTTCTTTCTCACATTATCCTTCCCAGTAAGACACCCCGTTACCAGGACAATCACACCGTCCTTGTAGGAGTCTTGTGCATCTACCGTCTCTATCTCTGCCTTATAGTCCTTGTAATCCAAGGAGAGGACCTTGTCATTGATGGCCTGTTCCAAGATTAAATACAAGCTTATTTCATCAGGCCGATGATAAACCATATTAAATTCAAGCTTACTAGTACTATATTAACAAAATTTGAGGAAATATGAAAACCAAAGTTTAATGCCTTTCTGGACAAAAATGTTGATATCATTGCAGCATAGTGAAAAGCCAGTAAGCCACAAAGGTTTTATTAATTCAAGCAGAGACATTAACAATAGGAATACATATGGACAAAAGATAGGTCTGTAGAAATGGCAATCATTAATAAAACCTTTGTGGCTTACTGGCTTTTCACTATGCTGCAATGATATCAACATTTTTGTGCTTTGTTATTCTGATAAATCAAGCACTTCAGTACTGAACATGGATCACATCAAACTACACCATAATTCCAACCATAGTTGTCAAGAAAACACCTAGGCAATGCCTAGGTGCCAATACGGCAACACCCCCATGGAAGGTCACCTCACTTCAGTGCCTAGCCTTTTTTTAAAGGCGTGTTTTTTTTTTCATTTTCTAAGATTATAATAATATAAATATTATTACACAAAATTGAATAATTTGTGGGTTTATATACTCGTTACTTCAAAACCTGAACCAAAAAGCAAGGAGAAACTTCTTTTCCTAGGGAAAAACAGGAGCTCACTCGTAATCCCTATATTTTCTGAATTTTCTTTTCTTTTTTTCTTTTTTTCTCATGAATATGTTGATTTTCTATATTTTGATATGAAGTTACTTGATGAAATTTATTCGAAAAAAACATTGCCTAGACTCAACTTGGCGCCTTCAAAACCATGACTCCAACATCCAACAAGTGATAATATTGGCATGCCTTTATCTTGGGAGCTAAACAAGTAATAACTAAGAAAGATAAGYAAGTCAGGATCAATGTTTCAAGGAATTGTGTCAAACATGGCACCCTACCCTTGAACTGTTGTTAGAGGTGTGCAAGGCAAGACAATGTGCTACACTAACAACTTGATCAACTCAACACATATGAGGCAACTATACATAGTGAGTCGACTACTTTTATCAACCTGATTACTTCTTCTTTTTTCTTTTTTCAAATTAACACCATCCCTTTATTTATGTTATTTTTGCTTTATCCACCAAAATCTGGAAATATGGTGTCTTTTTTGTTGGGAGTTGGTTGTTTCTGCTACCCCACCCCATCAAAAAAGAAGTAAAAGTAAAAATGAATAACTTGTAATTTGCAATACAACCCCTAATTTATTTCCAAATTTATATAAATAAATTGTTTCAAGTTAGTTGCAAGATTTTAAAAGGTAGATGGCTGAGGCTGAGGCCACTGATCCTGAAAAGGTAACGTGCCATATAGGCCTCAAAGTCTATGTAGATATTATGCATGTATAAGACTATGAGTGTTTGTGTGTGTGTGTAAGACCAAACTTATGTGAATTTTTCTTGCATATTTTGGAATATCATTTATCTATTTGATAGCCAATTTGTAAATTTATTATTCTTCAGTATATGCCTTTAAGTAACTCCTACTTTTTGGAACTTCTTTTTTATGATTTATTTTATATTTACAATCTTCCCTATTTCCATTAATTGATTTACTAGTTAAAGAAAATAATATATCCCATTTAGTCATTTACTTCACTAATATGTTCTAATTTATTTTTTGAAAGAAACTATAAATGCTCTCCAAATGATTTTATTGCAACTCCTTAACCGGCACTAAATAGGTAGTAACCTAGTTGACAAGCCAATGCCTAGGCGGCAAGGCACCCTTTAATGGTCACCTTGCCCAAATCTCTACATATTTATATATAAAACACCACATAATATTTTTACATTTTGTTTTATATTATTAATAATATTACAATAAATAAGTATACTAATTATTATAGTTTCTTTTTATTATTTTTTATTTGTTTTAGTTCAACCAACACAAAATTATTGACAGTCTTGAAAGAACTTGAAGATTTTATCCAATTAGAACACAAGAGCAACCAATAAGACTTCTTCCTCTTCCTAGGACAAAAGCAAGGGCCTGACTACTAAATTTCCTATACATTCTTTTCATTCTTCTTTTTCTTCTCATAAATATGTTGAATTTCTATACTTTGATATGGGGTTTATGCTTATTTCATGAAGATCATGGTAATTTATAGTTTAAGATTATTGATTATTACCATTAAACCTAGGGTACCCTAGAATTTATATTTTTTATTTTAAAAAACTCATTGCTTAGGTGTCCTGCCTATGAAGCTAGGCAACAAGGTAGAGGTGTAAACCGGGCCGAGCTGGGCTGGGGGTTTCAGGTCCACGGGACAGCATGGCCCAACCTGCGGCACGACAAGGCCTACGACAAGCTGAGTGCAGCCTGTTCAAGAAAACAAGCCATTGGGGCCCTTGGGTGACCCCCCGAACGGCTAGTTTCAGCTTTTTTAAAAGATACCCCCTTAATCAACAACTATAAGCCTATAAATAGTTTATATAGGGGGTATTTATGTATTTTGCCTTCGGGGGAAGAAAAAGACAATAATGCCCCACCAACAACTATATCCTATAATATAACAACTAGTTTGGGACTTTGAAGGCATTTGAGTAAAATGATAAATGGCTTTATAATGACCAAAATACCCCTCCAAACAATTAAAAAACAGCTAATTTTTAGGGTATTTTGGGCAACTAAATTATTTTCAACTCCTATAAGTAGCCCTATCATCCACCATTCTCATCACACCAATTCAGCAATTCTCTTCTCAATTCTCATACTCTCTCAATCGCTCATTTCATTCTATCAATAGTGTCAAACACTCATACACTTAGCAATTTAGGAGGCTTTGGCCTTTGAGGCTTCGACCATTGAAATCAAGTTGAGATTTTGAACCGGTAATCCGACCATCCAGGTAAGTGCAATTAAATTAATTTTTATTTTTTTAGAATTAAAAACTGGTTGGCTCTTCATCCCGAAACCAATTCCCCAACAGTAAGTTCACTAACCCGATTTGGAAAGTATTTAGAATTGAGGAGGTTGAGGGGAAGGGAAAAAGAACCGTTTGCCAAAAATGTAAGATTGACTCAATGTTTTAAAAGCGGCAAAGCGCAAGGCACAAAAATAAGCGCAAGGGCCAATTTGCACCTGAGGCGCACGCCTTTTTAAGCAAGGTGCAAAATTACAAAAAAAAAGTCAAAAAATTCAAAAAAAAACATAAAAAAAGTCAAAAAATACTAAACATAATGTCAATAAAAATATATAACCTTAAATTTTAAAATAAATGTTTTAAAAAACCTATTATCTAAAATTAAAATACACAAACATAACATGTAAAGTGTATTCAAATGAAAATTTAAAAATAAAAACAAACATATAAAGCATTTTCAAGCATGTAAAACCCACAATCTCTTTTTCTCCTTAATTACATTGCTTCAAGTAACTAATGTGATGTAAAACATATTGCATTCTTGATTCTATGAGTCGCCTTTGTACCACGCCTCTCGAGGCAAGCCCAAAAAAGTCTATGTTAGGGTTTGAAATTCTTATTTCTCACATAAAAAGTAATGATTTTATAACTTTCATTGCCTTTTAAGAAGATATTTTATTGCAATGAATGAATGAACAACATTAGCAAATAGGGGGTTCTCGGAGCTCCGGCAATGAAAGTTATAAAATCATTATTTTTTATGTGAGAAATAAGAATTTCAGACCCTAACGTAGACTTGTTTGGTCTTGCCTTGAGGGGCATGGTAGGGGGTCCAGGGGCAGAGCTCCCAACCCATCCGTTAGACTCAAAAAAAAAGCAAAAAGCACAAAATTTTAAAAAGGCGCATGCTTGGGCTGAGGTGTCAGGCGCATCAAGCATGCGCCTTTTGAAAGGGGTGCGGCTAGGACCTAGGCAAGGTGCATACCCCAAAATGCGCCTCGCCTGTGTGCCTAGGTGCGCCTTTTAAATCACTGGATTGACTTTAGCTTCAGTAGCAAGGGTGGTACTAGCCACTTGGGCAGACATTTGCTCTTCCATGAGAAACAAGAAAAAGACATCTACTTTAAAGATTTGTTGGATGCTAAGGATAAATTACAAGACCATGAGGGCATGACACTACTACACCTGAGGAAGCAGATGATTGAAGTCAAGGAGATGAAGTAGTTTTTTCAATTTTATTTAAATTATTTGTTATTTTTTCAACAATGTAATTTTTATTTTCAATTTGTAAATTTTTTATATTTTAAATGAAATAAAATTCGTATTTTTCCAATTTGTTTCCAATGGAAGGTTAAGTATTTTAGTTTTACTTAGAAAAAAATTAAAAAAAATAACAAAATAACAAAAAAAAACAACAAAAAACAATATGGGCCTTTCTGAACCGGTTCGGCCCAGACCTGTGGCATGGCATGGCACAGCACAGGCCCACATGGACTCGAGTCGTGGACCATGGGTCGTGATGGGCCAACCCCCCAAATTATCCCAAGGGAGGGAGGCACGGCCCGACTCAGTCCACGTGCCGGCACGGCCCAATTTACACCTCTACAACAAGATGGCCCCTATCACATTGCTTCACCTTGGTACCTTGAAAACTATGGGTAGTAAAACACTTAAGAGTGCTATTAAATTACCATATACACATATTGAGGCCTTAGCCTTGAGGCCTTATCAAATATCAATTTAACCATGTTTTATTTGGTGGGAAAAAATGAGGCCTTAGCCTCAACAACTTGAGGCTAGAAGCTACAAGGCATATGCATCTTGCTACATGAGGCATATGCCTCAATATAAGGTATGTAAGGTTATAGAGGAAAGGTGATTTGGACATGCCTCACCCTCCTAGCCTTTTAAAACTAGGATTTGTTGTTAGACTGTTACACTTTTACTTTGGCTTTCAAAAAAATGTTACACTATTACTTCTAAGTATAAAATACATATTTTTCATGTTAGTGTAATTCCTAGTGCAATCTATTTTGAATAGTAGTTACCTTGACAACAATGTCCCATGTATAGAAACAAGTCAACATTTCAGCCAAGAAAGGATTGAATATATTATACTTATACATATCAATTATAATTTATATTTATGTGTTATTTAGATATTTTCCATTTGCAGCCTACTCTAGGAAAGTTATTTTATATAAGAATTAATATCATTTGGGGAACATGGTGCAAAAGCCAACCCTATGCAAGATAAAGTTTGTTGACTAGAGTTTGAGTTTATTCATTTCAACTGCATGATCATAGTTCTGCTTGAAGTTGGCCAAAGTTCAGAGTTAGTGGCACATCATATATTCATATCCTGCCTAGCATTAAACATGTGCCTGTCTAGGTTGCATATCAAAGCCAAACAGAATAAGCAATATCCTATTGGTACATTATGTAATCTTTACTTCTTCTCAAAAAAAAAATGAAATATCCTATTGGTACACTATGTAATCTTTTGTTTTGAAGGCGTTATGTAATCTTTTTAAATATACATAAAATGTTGGTTTCCATCACATAGAACACAAACCACAGAAACTCATTGCTTCGGATTTTTATCAGAAGATCACATCTTGAATAAGTAGCAGCCACTCATCAAGACAAATCCAGCCAGCTTCTCACTGTCAAAGGTACAGGTAGCAAAATTATAAGTGAACATCTGGCTTGGCTAACAAAAGATTCTTTATCGTAGAACCATGTGGTTTTAATGGAATCAGAAGATTTCGATTTCCCCATGCATCCTTTGACAAAATATTCTTTATCAGAAAACCAGGTTGTTTTAATGAATAATCAGAAATAGTATGTCTTCTTTATGCATCCTTTACTGCTCTAGCAAATATGGATGCAACTTGGGTGGGCTTGGGTTGGGCTTTTGTCAAAATTTGAATGAGCCCAGCCCAAAGGCCCAAGTCTGAAATAGTGTAAAATGCTAACTCGGGCCAAACCTGAATTGCATCCCTATTCCCTACTAGCAAAGGTCCAAGAATAATAGTTTTACAAAAAGATTATACACCTTGATCTATCATAGAAATATCATACTGCAATACCAAGAAAGTCACCTGCATTGTTGTGACCGATGACATTGTACCATTTGGTTCTGGCCTGCTGAACACGCTAGAATCCTGATAAAATCTGTAAACTAACTCTGGCGAGTGATGAAGAATGAGGTAATACTGCTCCACAAAGGCATTTCCAACCACTTGAGCACTGGGAGCATGAGCTGGACTTGCTGTCTGCATTGCCATCCCTGCAGAACAGTCCACGTCTCACGAATAGGACTTCATAATTGGGTTTTTCTTTCTTTTTTGTGTGTGTATGTGTTAGGGAGGGTAACAATTGTGCAGTCAAGGTACATGACCAACACCAACCCACCAAACAAAAAATGTAATAATAAATGATGCAGGGAGGGTGTCAAATAAACGGCAAAGAAAAGTTAATTAACAATCAAACCAAAGAGCAGGACATAGTATTCATCAAAAAAAAAAGAGCAGGACCTGGACTAAAAAAAGCTCCATAATATCCAGGAGAAAACTTTTGAGAAGCTAAAGCACCAAAACCACAATATGATTCAAGAGAAACAGTAAAACAGCAGTAGCTTTTAAAATACAAAAGAAATGAGAGCAGAATAACTCCCGATATGAAAGAGAGAGAAAGTAAACAATACAAATTAAAATCTAATAGACAGTATTTGCACTATTGATGTTGTGAGATATAGGAATAATCAAAGTATCAAACTACACCAGAACATAAGTGCTTCAAGCAAATAACATAATTCTTATCCGTGACAAAATTGAAGTTCAATTAGTACTTGAAAATATCAACAAGGAACCACTATCAAACATTACACTTGAAATCTGGGCCTAAAAAATTGGGGCATTATTAAAGTAACTTAGGTTCAGTTTGGAAAGGGTACAAATACAAATATGTACAGTGCAAATACATACAAAATACAAGATTTTGCACTCTACATATTTATATTTGTACTCCTTCCAAACTGAACCTTAGTTAAAAAGGCCAGAGAACTTAAAAAGGAGGCATGCGTTATAAGAATATAAAACAATATGGAATCAAAACTTTAATAATAAGTTAATAACAAACTAAAGAAATATGGAATCAAATCTTTAATAAAAAGTTAATAACAAACTAAAGAAAAACCCTTTATTAAAAGTATTCCTATGATGAGTGCACGTAATTGTAAAAAAAGATGCTATAAAACCAAAACCTAATAACAAACTCATACAATTCCGAGATCCAAAAAAAAAAGGAAAAAAGAAAAGAAAAGGTACCTACAAGTAGATTCAACACTATGAGAAAATAATGAAACTTTAGCTCAAATCGTATCCATTATTGATGATTAAAGGATGATGAGTATTCTCATCCAAGGAAAATGTACAAAGTACAAACCGTAAGTAAACCGGAAAAGAAAAAAAAAAAAAAAAACCAAAAACCTAATACTTTAAGAAGCCTAAAAAACTGGGTAGGTAGTGGAGGTAAGGCAAATCCATTCACCTAAATCAAACCTTACATATTAATGAGACATGAGAATACAGAGAATGACCCAAAATTCCAAGCCCAGTAGATGAACTCCATGATCCCCGAAAAAACTTGTCAGGAAAAATAATTAACCTACTTAAAAACAAGAAAATAATAAATAGTTCAAATCCACCAAACAGAAAACAAGCAAGTGAACGAAAATCGACAATTGTACGTAAATAACCTGTCAAACGAAAAATACACCTTCTCCGATCGAACCCACAAAAAAAAGTAATTAAGTAAAAGTACCCACCCAATATAAGAAGACAACTGAACTTCGGAATAGAAACCTTATCATCTTAACTGAAATAATAACAACCCGAAAACAAAAAACATGATTCAAAGAGTCCAAAGCAGCAGTGACTCGAAAAACAGAAAGAATAAAAATAAAAAAATAAAATCTACCTACATAAAGTTTGGTAATCAATACATGCACTTGAGCTATTCAGTAAATAACAGACGAGCATAAGAAAAAAAAAAACTAAAAACAGTAGAAAATACCTCTTATTGGATCGATTGGACTCTCCGAATGATAAACAAGAGAGATGCAGAGAGCGAGAGGAAGAGGAAGAGGGAGACGGAGAAAATGTGCGCGTGTAATTGTTTATCAGAGCACAGAAAGCGAGGGAGAGTAAAGGTGAAGCTGAGCGGTTAGAGACTTAGCACACGACGAAAGGAAGGAAGCAAGAAGAAAGAAAGGGAGAAATTCCTTCAGATCTTAAAAAAAAATAAAAGGGAAGCTAGGAAGGCTCGTAGTCGGGATTTTATTCAATTTGTGGAGGGTAGTTTCGTCATCATAGAATGAACTAGTCGAGGACTCGAGGAATCGAGTCTCAGTACAATTCCAATAAACAAGAGGCTTTTTTGGAATGCAACAGCCGACGTGGCACGAAGGGTATTAACTTAAGTATGTAAACATTTCATTTCAGCGTGCATTAGGAACATCTCAGTGGGAGATGCTCCTAAATCTTAATACACGGTTGGGATATGTTATTGGGCGTAGATATTCTCAATTAAATACGAGTAATCTGATGGAGTATATGATCATGATGTTGCAATGCATCTCTACCGTCCGTTTTGTCTCTGGACTCTGGTCAACTCCTAAGACAAAGGGTCTGTTTGATTTACAGTCAGAACTAAAATCCCTCTGAATATGTATGGTTGAGATTGAAATTGGAAACAGAATGAGATTTGGTTGGAATGAATTTCAATTCTTAAGGCTCAGATTAGAAGTACAGATACAAATATGTAGAATGTAAAATCTTGTAGTTTGTATTATTTTTTATGTATTTGCACTATATATATTTGTAATTGTATTCCTTAGACTCAGTTTGAAAGGAGTACAACTACAAATATATAGAATGCAAAATCTTATATTTTGTATTATTTTATATGTATTTGCATTTATACTCTTTTCAAACTAAACTTAAGGGAGGAAGAATGAATAGCCATTCCCTCAAATAGAGGAATGCCATTCCACCAAAATTGGGAATGGAATTTTGATTCCGCCTAATCAATCAGTTGAAATTGGAATAGCATATTCGAGACCTCTATCCCGGCAAAGCCAACCGACCCTAAGAATTGGCCCTAGACAGCAATAAGCACTACCTAAGAAGCAACGGAGGTACCCAGCCTTACTCGTGGTAAAACCTCTACAAAGCCAAACATCTAATGCCATAGCATCTAAGTTAAATATATTGTTGTGAAAAAAGATCCAGCCTTTATTTTTTCAATTTTTTTTTTCTTGTGGTGGAGGGGTTTCAAATTTGGGTATTACATAGTGAACTTTATAGGGGGTCGGGCTGTGGAAAGAACAAGGTGCAAGTGAGGTTCCGTGGCGTTTAAAATTTCGATATGATATGCCCGCATCAGATGCATCTTTTAGTATATAATACACTTATTCTAAGGCGTTTTTAACAAACCTTTTTTCTAATAACTAAAATACAAAAATAGGCTCCTTTAAAGTTTCAAAAATAAATAAAAAGAAAAGAACAAGATTCAAAATATCGATACACCCCTTTTAACTTCTTTTTGAGAGGATGCCAAATGATCACCTCAACCATTCAGTCATCCGAATGAATAAGATTTTCTAAAGCAAAAAAGCATTACGTTTAGAGCATGGCATCCAGCAGCACATCAAAAGACATTTACTCATCAATTCAACTAGTAAATATTCCCAAATTGTTGCTGAATGTCATGCTCTCATCATGTTTGAATGCTTTATAGCTTTTTAGCTTTCGGGAGAACTGGGCTCTGGGCTCAAATTTCAAACATCTCATAGACATACCATCCATTGCAAACCAATCATCCACTCAAAGAAAGATGCAAATTGGTGGCTATAAGTAGAGATTTTCACTGTTGCGCCAAACCCCATATAGAATTGACCCTATATCCAGACCACAAATCACAACCATATTTGTAATGCAACAAAATCTAACTTAAAAGATTGAATGGCTTATTCCATTTTACCTCTCCTAACCCTCCAGCCCACCCTTGCACCAAACCCTCACATATCAAACATCAGAGATATTCGCTTTTTTTTTGGTGGTCAAGGAAGGAATACATGTCAAGATTTTCTCATATATAACTTGATGTTAACTGGGCAATTGCTTTGATGTGCTTTGCTGGGATTCTAGTTAAAGTCAAATCACATATCTATTTCAAAGATRGGGCATGTTTTTCGAATCGCCATTGACCCAGATGGTTAGATCGTTTGACTCGGGAATCGTTCAGGCAACCGGTTCTGTTTTATTCTAAATTCGGTCTCTGGTCAAAAGCCATTGAATCAGTTAATGGCTTATTGACCTAGGGGGTTGAAAGGCCTTTTTTTTTGTCAGAATAGGCCATCTGTTCAAACCARACGTTAAAACCATCGACCCCAAAACCAGTGGCCAGAACGGTTCCATTTCCAGGTCATTTTTTAAAGCCATGGGATAGGGCATGGTTGAGCTTTTTTCTAGTTTTTGAAAGGTCCAGATTGAAGCCCACACCCTGGTTGCAATTCTTTAACTTTTTGGCACCTGATTTTACACTCCAATGCTGATTCCAATGGGTATTCAATAAATGGACCTAATTTGTGATATCATTTGTAGGTTAATGACGAGAGAGTCCTTTGTTGGCCCAATGACATAAAGTCAGTTCAGTCTCTTAACTTGGATTTTTAACGAGTTAAAGAATTTAGGCTGTATTTGGTTTGAAGAAAAAGGTAAGGAAATGTTGAGGAACCTTTATAAACTTTGTATGGATTTCTTTTCCTTTTTCTATATTTTCCTTCAAACCAAATATAACCTTATTGGCAATGCATCTAAATAAAGCATTTTCAAAATCTATATCTTCTTATACATTAAAATGTAATGTGCCAAGTTGGCACTTTTGTACTTGTTGTTTCTTGTCAAACATAATTATCTTTTTTTCTTACCTTTTTTTGAATTTTCTAAATTTATAATTGAACAAAATAACTCAAGTAGCCAATCACTTTTAAGACCTTTAGATCTCAGCTTCTCACCATTAACTCCATTCCCATGAACTCTTTATTAATTATCCCATTAACTCTCTCCTTAAATAACTAATGCCACTAATTCTCTTTTCTCTACATTGCTTCATTAAATTGCCTAAGATTCATTAAATTCATCTATATCTATATCCATTTCAATTTATATATCACATGAGCGCCCTGCAACACATCCCAACTGTGTATTAGGAACATCTCCCAATGACAAATAGATGTTCCCAATGCACACTAAGATGTGCATGTGGGGCAAAGATGTGAACTCTTCAATTTAACTATAATTTTATATACGTTAAATTATAATTATTAATAAAAAAAATATTAAAATGGATATATTCGATGATGTATTATTAGACCAAATAATCTACTTCCATTTAAAAAAATAGTTAACTTTTAAAATAATTTGTATTTCGAAATAAATATTATTTACTTAACCCAACAAATAAAGTTGATGTTTTAAATACTTATTTGGGTCCACGTTTAGGGTCAATGCCCCTTAACCTAAACCCATCTAATTCCCTCTTTATTAAGAGAGCCAAAGAGGTTTGAGAGGAAATAATGGATTTAATGGGGNGGGGGGGTGTTTATTAGAGTAGTAGTGAATTTTGTTAGGTCTCCCTGAGCTCTATGGTGTAGGGGTGCAAATGGTAGAAAAAAATAAAAGTATTTTTTCTACCATTTCCATCACATATATACATGTTTTTTATAAAAATTTCTTTTAATAATTTATTATTATTATTTTTTAAATATAAAAGATCGAATCATGTTTGGATATCCAATGTCCTTATTGAATTTGAATCTGAATCAATATTTTGTGAGATTCAATCAGATCTTTGGTTCAGACCTACAATTTATCGGATTGGATTTAGATATATCCTAATTTGAATTCAATTCGATATATCCTAATTTATCGGATTGGATTTAGATATAAATAAACAATTTCAGTTTTTTTGGGTAGGCCAAATAGAATTACGGCTTAGTTTGAGTTGACAAATTAGGTTCTGTCATCAATTTGTGTTCAAGCTATGGTCAAAAATGGTTAATAATGATTTAAGAGGGAAGGAGGGGTTTAATGGGGGATGAGAGAGAGAGAGAGAGTAATGGTGGATTTCATTTAGATACCATTAAGATCCAATGAGGTATTTATTCTAACTTCTTATATTTTTATAATTTAATTTAAAAAATAAATAACCACGTGCATGAAAAATGAGAGGAGAAGGAGGTTAGTGTCAGTTTTGTGGTGAGAGGGTGGCATAGTTCGGAAACAAATCATGTTCAGAGAAACTTAAAAAAAAAACAAAATAAATAAATATATATATATATATATATATATACACATATGAAGAAGAACAATTCTTCGTTGAATAATTAGGCTGCGGAAACAATGTAAATAGAGTGTAAATTCCGGTCCAGGGTAAATTTGTACTATGGTTCACTTTTGCATGTGTTTGGCAACATTACATTTATAGATTGACAAATGACAGACCAATGCATATTTACATTGATAATAAGATGTAAAAGTACATCAATAAAAAATAAGTAAATTTGCATTCAAGTGGGGTTTTGATAAAAAAAAAAGTATTTATTGAAATTCATGTTTGAAGATCCTGTTTATTATGCTAACTTGGTAAGTGTGAATCAACATAAATAAATAAAAAAAAATCATATGATGAAACTATCTTGGTAAATACCAATTAAGATGGATCGTCTAAATCCAACTTAGTAAATGTTTATTCGATTGGGCCAAATCCTGAATTGCATCAGAGGCCCATCACCTCCTCTCATTCCTCTTTCCGGTGTAAATACAAATTTCTTAATTTTTTCATTGTTGGCAGTGACACCATGTTATTTATCCATCAAAAAATGAAGTTGAACGGTCTGAACTAGCTTAACTAGCATGAAGAGGGTTATAGAGTCTATGTTAACATCACCTAGTTTAAAAAGTGTACCAAGTGTTTTGGCATTCAAAACGTTACCTCATAACCACACTCAAGAGTTGAATTATATTAAGGGTAAATTTTTTAAATTACCTTTATCGTTTAGTTAATTGACTAACAATATCTTTATTGTTTGAAAATTGACTGATGCTACTCTTACTATTTCTCACAATTAACTAAAGGCCCGTTTGGCACATCTTTCCATGCGGTCTTTTTGGCTGTTTACAAGTTGGGAAGACCAATTTCCGGTCTATTTCCATTTGGCACACAGTAGATCTAGCTTCCAAAAGATGGAATGCTGAAAATACGCAAAAAGCCCATTTTGGGCTGATTTTGGGAAGCTCCAAACGAAGCTTCTCACGTCTTTCGCGTTTTATTATAGCGCGGAAAGACACGGAAATATGCATAGAAAGACGTGCATATGCCAAATGTGCTTCGGGCTGCTCAGATCTTCATGCAAAAAGCTCAATGCGTCTTTTGACTATTAGAGTTACCAGAAGATCTTCCCAAAAAGACCTGCCAAACGGGCCCTAACTCTATTCTTACCGTTAACCTCTGTCAACAATGTAAAATATCTAAACTACCCTTCAAAGTTCAAATGTTGTTGTTGTTGGGTGGAGTTACATATATCTTTCTAGTTTCTACTCTACCTCTTTCTCTCTACCCTTATGGTAAATTTCTACTCTACCTCTTTCTCTCTCCAATAGTTTCTACTCCACCCATCCGCTGCTGGGTGGAGTTACATGGTAGTGTCGCCGTCGTTGCCCAGAGGAAGAAGATAGAGAGATCGGAGTTTAGATGTTGTTGTCGTCGCCCAGAGGAAGAAGAGAGAGATCGGAGTTCAGATGATGTCGTCGTTGCCCAAAGGAAGAAGAGAGAGAGAAAGAGAGATCAGAGTCCAAAGGGGGTTACCACTGTCGTCGCCTAGAGGAAGAAGAGAGATGGAAGTTCAGAAGGGGGTTGCCGCCATCGTCGCCCAGAGGAAGAAGAGAGAGAGATGGGAGTTTAGAGGGGGTTGTTGCCGCCGTCGCCCCTATTCAGTTCACTCATACCACTTCAGTTGCCGCTGCACCTATTCAGTTCACTCATTCTATGCTTCTTCAAAAGAGCACCCCCATTGTTGAAGAAGACAGAGGATGAAGGATGTGTCGGTTCACTCGTTCTCTGCTTTAATTTTCTTTTATTCTTTTTATGTTCTTGACTGTGAAAAAGCTCAACATATGCTTTACTTTTTTTGGTTTTTTTAGTTMTTTTATACAGTGTGGATACGGTGTTGTTCTCTCCAGTGATCTGGTGTTGATGGAGACTGTGGGAGGAAGATCAAGGGAATAGAGAGAGGTCGGAGGATAAAGGGTGTGCTGAGTCGAGAGGAAGGGGATAAGGGTAGCATTGGGTTTTAAAAAATTTTAAACATCATGTGGTGTCATGTGTTTATGGGTTTTGATGGAATATTAACGGATGTTAACAATAAGGGTAGAGTTAGTCAATTGTAAAAAACAGTAAGAGTAGCATTAGTCAATTTTCAAACAATAAGGGTACACTTAGTCAATTAGCTAAACCAGAGGATAGTTTAAGAAATTTATCCTTTTATTAAATCTAACCAAGTTTTAAAAGGCTAAAGGCATAATTGAGGCATGGTGTCCCAAAAGGTAGGGTGCAAGCATATGAGCCTTAAATTTTTTAAAAAGTAATTAAAAAATATAGAGAGAGTAGGAATGGCAATGGGGCGGGTTCGGGGT